CCCCAAAACCCCAAAACCCCAAAACCCCAAAACCCCAGAGGCGTTACTTGATTGGCAAATTAATTTACATTTCATCTAATTAGTGTCATAAATTGCTAGGCACAATCCGAATGCCTGGAAAATTGAGAATGGTGCTTGAACATCCAGGCTAAATGTTGACTTATCAAATTTTCCAAACTGGAAAACAATGTTCTCCTTCTGAAGAGAAACTTGACTACCTTCATCGCAATCTGAAACTTCAGGATCGTATCTAAAGTCTTCAATGAGCTGTGTATTTTTGTTTGAAGGCTCTTTTACTCGGCTTCCAAATTTAAAAACATATCTTCCTTTATTCTTAGACCACTTTGGCTTCTTGTTATTTTAAGGCATGAACCTCTTTGGAAAGAGCCAATTCATGAGGATCATCTACTCCATCATAAGAGAATGGATCGTCAGTATATCTTTCATCAAAGAATGGCATTAAAGCCTGTGTTTTCTTAATTTTGCCTAGACCTTCAATAACTTCATCGCTAAATTTAGCCAAAAAGAATGTCTTTCTTGGTTGCTGGCCGGATTTAAGCCTCCCAGGATTCTCTCCAGGCCCATATAGAAAATATTCATTCTTCTTGGAATCAGTTGCTCTTAATTTTCCCATATAGGCATCACCTTTAGATCTTGGATTCTTTATATCAAGAGACAAAACGTAATTCGAAGTTCTATTAACAAGTTTTTTTTTGGCAATCATCAGTTCTTGCTTGACTTCATTTCCTCTAGAATCTGTTGATACAAGCGATAGAATATATTTTGGAGTGAAAGCATTAAAGCCAGCTGCATTTCTTGTAATTTCGAGTTGAACCATCCCTATCTCTCTTGATAAAGGAGCGGTTCATAGCATCCTTATACTTTCATGTGCACCTTTAAGCTGACAAAGTGTTGCTATGAACATTGCTTTATTTTCTCTTCATTTATTTAAGGTATCCTTTATCCCTGGAGCTGATTCTGCAAAAGCTTTGGTTGGCCTTGGCTTCCTTTCTACCGATCCTTTGTAGCTAGAGCCTCCTCCTTCACTCCTAAAATTGATTTTTCTAGAACCACTTCTCTTCTCTCTTTCAGTTGACTTTTTCTTAGTCACAGAATCTATAAATTAAGGATGCCAAATTACAAGCTCCTCCATAGATTGATTCTGCTAATCTTCTTCTATTTCGATCCTTTAGAGATCTTTTGCCTGTCTGCATAGTATACATGCTACTAGGATTAGAGGATCCTTCATAATTTTCCTTTAGCATTGCGTTCTTGAGTTGAATATCATTAAAATCCTTAGTATGTAGGTTCGGTTTAGCTTCTCTCCCTATGATCAAATTAGAGATTTGCTTACTCTTGGTGCCTGAACGAGAATATAATGGCATATTGGTCTTCTTTAGAATGCCTCTTTGCTGTGAGTTCGTAGATTGTTTCTTTTCCTCTACTGTATTCCCTCTCTGGGAATTCCTATTCATCATATCTACTCTTGGCTTGGAGGCTTTCTTCTCAGCACTGAAGTTAACTCTGGGTTGGCCTTGGCTAGCCATATCTCTCCTTGATTTCTTCCTTTCGCTCATTAAGATTTTATTGTCTGCCTTTTTAATTGGGCTATACTCTTCTTCTGGGTCTATAATATGATACATAAAATGTTCAAAGGTACCGTATTTCCCCCAAATTCTTCCAGATTCCTTTCTTTTGTCAGGAGCCATTGACCCATCTCTTTTGTATTCGATCTCGTTCTCTTGCTGGACCTCATTTATATCGGGCTTGACAGAGCTTTCAATGTAGTTTTTGGGTTTGTAGTCTCTCATTTCAGACCTATTCATGCTCTTCTTGCTTTTCCTCTTCTTTGGTTTTTTAGAAATTTCTATCCGACCACTATTTTCATGGTAGCCATGCTCTTTGTTGTAGTCATAAAGAGTGTTGGTGAAATCTTCAGCCTTGCCTGAGACCTTGTCAGGAGTTATTGTGCCAAGTTCATCATCTCCAATACTCAGACTTTTGTCAGCTTCAGGTTTCATTGGATAAGCACCAAAACCTCCATCTATATTCAAGTCTGCTTGAGAGCTGTTTTTGTCTGAAAATTGATCTGACATCTTATCTGGTTCAGGCTTCGGAGGATAGGCAACATTCAGAGAGGATATTTGATTCATTTGTGATGAACTATTTAATATTATGAGAGTCTATACCGAATAAGATTTTCGAAATCTGGATCATTATCTCTTTTCTGGAAGTCAAAGACTTTCTTTTTCTTCTTTTTCCTTTTCTTTCTCTCAACACTAGCTTCTACAAAAGTAATCAAGCAAATTACCCGCTTGAGTAGGATTTTCAGTAGCTATCCTAGTTTCCTTAGGCTGTTCATGATCTAATTTAACCTGGCTCACATTTGGAGAAAGCTCAACTGATTTTTCAGGCTCAGCAATACTTTGAGAAGATAGGTTGATTCCGGACAGATCTTTTGAAGAGTCGTGCACTATATTAGATCTGTCAACCTTTATTGTCCTTCTCTTCTTCTTTTTCTTTCTTGGATATATAGGATCAACTCCCGAGTTGTCTTCTATATTTGGCTGCTGAGCTTCATAATTTCGAGCAGGAACTCTTTCTAAAGCTCCTTCTTTTATTGACACATTTTCATCTTTGTGTGTATCGTTTGTAAATGGCTTGTAAGGATCTTCAATTCTCTTAGCTATTTGAACATTGTCTTTGATGCTAGGAGACTGGTTTTGTTTCCCAAAAATTGAGTTACTGTATGTCTCTTGGTTCCTGAAATCATGAGTATTAGCAACAGAAAGCTGTCCTTCTTGCTTAACCTCAATATTACTAGGATTTAACTCCTTGTGATCATCACGAAATTCAGTAATAACCTTTTTACTCGATTTCCTAAGAGACCTTTTCTTTATTCTGTCCATGACTATAAATTAGGAAGACGTTCATTACCATGATATGTATCATTGCTATTTTCTACTTCTTCTAGCTGAGATTCTTTCCTTGACTGGCTTCCTTCATTTCTATTACAAACATTGTGAAAACCCTTACTCATAATAGCTGCCTGAATACTCTTGTTCTGTAAGATTTATTTTTAAAATTTACCGAAATTATTATAACTTCTTTTCTTCTTTTTCTTCTTCTTTGGTTTTGGAGTCTCTTCATCAGCTCTCTTTTTGTAGGCACTATGATGGTAGTCCTCAGCTGTATATTTAGTATGTAGAGGTACCTTTTAAGTCCGAGACATAAGGAGAGGTATCTTGGGGACTCTCATCGCCTTTGTATTCTTCTAGCTGAAGGCTTTTTACACTGACATAATTGCCTGGAGAGGCATCCTCTTGTTGATGTAGAGGTATGATATTGTCAGAAACTCTCTTTTTAGCCTTCTTTCTCTTCTTTTTCTTATCGGGACTGTTTCTATCAACAAAGTTGTTGTTGACTATGCTTCTTCTAATAGATTCTTGCTCTGTTTCTTTTTCAAAATTGAGCCTAATAGGATGACTTTCATCCTTATCAAATGTAGACTTCAGATGTTCCACTGTTTCCTCTACTCTCTTATTACTAGAGTTTATTTCAAAATTCTTTATTTTCTTCTTTCTTTTTGAAGTGGATTGGTCTCCAGAAGGAGTTGAGCCCAAACTTTGAAGATCTTCAAGTTGGTCACCTTTATTGTAAATAATCTCGCTTACCTCTACCAGAGCCTAAATCCTGGATCCATTTATTCTTAATAAATTTATTCTTGCTTTTCTTATTTTGCTTTGTGTCGTCCAGAATGTGGACCTCAAGATCTTCTTCTTCTACTTCAGGTTTTCTCTTATTTTTCACTAATGATTATGCATAAAAATTACAAGGGATAAAACTAGGCTCCATCTCTGGCTGAGCTATAAACTGGGATGTACTATGAACAGCTGGTTCCCTTGACTTATTATGAGAATGTTGGCCATGATTTGACTCAATATTATTGCCCGACTTTCTATACTTCAGAACACTGTTCCTCTTGTTTAATCCTCTGTTTATATCAGACATCTCGCTTTCCTCAGTATGATCTATACAGTAAGTTGTAAAAATAGTACCAAATCTTTTATTTCTTCTATCTTCAACTTCTTCGAGAGTATATTCATTGTCATCTATAGATTAGTTATGCTTGATAAAAATACTTACCAGCCATATCTGTGATTTTATTTGAGATATCTGCTTCTTCTGAATCCAGTACCAGACTGATTCTTTTCTTGGTTTGGATCTATGAAAATTTCAGAAAGCTATTTCAGTCTTACTTGAAAAATCTTCTCCGTGAGTTCTGTTATCTCCAAGCCGATTCTTTTTACTTATGAATAAATTAGCATTATCTTCATCTTCAAGAGCGGACATAATTATGTCTTGGTCCCTCTATATATTTTGCTTGAGAATTTCTCAAAGAGTAATTGATAGAGACAGAAAAAATAGATCCAATGGTGAATGAAATATTTTTGAAACGCAAAAATTTATAAAGATTCTAATTCTTAGTTTTCTTATAAAAGACTCTGATCCTTAAACAGATTTTTATCATAACAAGCCAACAACCTTCTCTTCACTAATCATTCCGAAACCCCCTTCCCGCTTTCTCAAGATCCACCATCCTAAAACGTCCACTAATCAAAACCCCCAATCATCTATAACACTCTTCCATCCCTCTCCTCTGCTCTCTCTACACCCCTCCCTTCTTCCTCCTCTCCAAAATCCTACCTTCCTCTTATCCTCCTGAAAGTCAAGCATATTAGGTTCAAAAATATTTCAATTTTTATAATATAGGTTGGGGTTTTGGGGTTTTGGGGTTTTGGGGTTTTGGGG